ATGGACTCAGCTAGGCCAGGGGACTCCCTCACCCTAAAGCACTTCAAAGGCTCTGAGGTGCTTTGAGCAGCCCAGACTGTGTTACTGTTCATCAGATACTTGAAGGCAGGCAGCCAGCTCTGCCACAGAAACCACAGAGAGCCTTTCTCCTTGGTCAGTTCCAATGTGGGAAATATTAAACTTTATGGAACTCTAGCTTAATAACCAACTGTAATTTGCAAAACAAAAACTGTGTACAAAAATGAGAAATGATATGATGTGATTTTAAAGTCAGATGGTTTCAATCAAGTATGTTTTTTTTTTTTTTTTGAAAAATGAGCATCATGGTGAATTCTTTTTTTTTTTTTTTTTTTTGTCTTTTTCGTTTTTATTGGTACCAGGGATTGAACCCACGACTGCCTGCTTGCATCGTGGTGAATTCTTAAGGCCCAGAGAAAGTGGTGTCTTCACGAGTGTCCTAAGAGTTCCCAAACCCATTAGAAACTTCTAGAAAATGGGCAGAATCTTACTGTTTTCTGGAGATACATAAAAAGCCTATCTTTCATGAGAACAGATATGAATCATATGATATAATTATATTCTAAATAGCAGAAGTGAACTTAATACATGATAACTCTGAAAATTGTTATTTTGGTAAACCAAAGAAAAATGTTAGCATTGGCTTTTTGCAATCTCTTTTCCGGACAAAAAATTGTATAAATGGGTGCAATTGGAGGTTCTGACATACCTATACATTATGAAATGATTACCACAATTAATATAATTAAATATTCTCTCACATAGCTAACACTTTTTGGAAATTTCAGAAAGTTTCAGCAATTTTAGGTGTGTGACAGGTTCTTACTAATTATAGTTAACAATACAGTTACCAATATTGTCTCTGTTTTTATGATTTTGGCTTCTTCGTCTTTGTATATAAATGAGAACATGTTGTACATATCTCTGTGTCTGACTTGAGTGACAGAATTGTGTCCTCCAGGTCTACCATGCTATCATATATGGATATATTTGTTCCTTTTGTAGTCTAAATAATATCCCCTGTATCTTCACATTATTTTATTTTAAAGAGAATAGAACCAACCAAAATAAAACAATAAAACCAATCAAAACAAACTAGTGTAAGTAACACAGGACTTTAAAACAATAAGAAATCATCAATGGTTATCATAATGTCTGTTTAAAATAGCTACAAATACTTTCAGGCATAGTAAAAATCAAACAAAATAGAACCAATAGAAACAAAACAATGAATGCAATAAAAGAGTTCCAAACAAGACAATAGTAAATCAAAATTGGCTACCATAATATATCTTGCTATCTTTGAAGTAGCTGTCCATGCCATCGGGTAAAATAAAATCAAGCAGAACAAAACAGAACAGTAAAACCCAAGCTAACAAAACAATGAAAATGATACATGACTTCAAAAGACAATAGGGAATCAACAATGGCCACCACACCACCACCCTCTGATGGAGAGGCCCCATAGATGCTACACTGCGTATGTATTGCCGTCCCCTGAATAGATGATCAGACTGCTGGCTTTAGACCTGCAGAGTCAGTGAAACACTGAACACTACAAGCATTAACCTGTATTCTACCTCAATAGCCATCATTGCAGCCTGTGTTTCTCTGGGTCAGCCAGTTACTTATGGCATGAATTGGCAGGCTGGAGGTTGGCTCTTGCTAACCCGTGCACTGGAAGGGCTGAGATCTCTTCACAGCAGCCGGCACATGGCGCTGAATTGCAGGAAAAGCTTGCTTCTTGGTGACATCTTGTTCTTCTTCCCTCGCAGTCCATGAATGGCGCTGATGCACAGGAAAAGGCTGGTGTCTGGCTGTGCCCCCTCACATTTTTATATCCACGCATGTGCTGAGCCACACCTGAGTTGACTCAGTGTCTTGGTTAGCATGAACTTCTGTGACTCCATTCCTTTGGCTATATACCTGGAACTGGGATTGGCTCACATAGTAGTTCTGTGTGTGTGTGTGTGTGTGTGTGTGTGTGTGTGTGTGTGTGTGTATAGTATGGTATAGGGTGGTGGGTTTTCCCCCCAGCTTTTTGAGACAATTCAAGCTACTTATATATAAACTGTGAGCTGTCTGGGATTGTCCTGATTATTAAAGAGAAATATCAGTCTCTTTCAGTATTGCTTGGCCAAAGAGAGTTCTGATGGACTGGGTGCACAGAATAGAGTGTTGGGGTTCAGCAACCCAGACACTACGTGTGGTCCTCTCAACCCACGCTCCTGACAGCTGCTCAAACGTGTGACTTAGCACTTGGTCATGGCCAAGGCCACGGCTGTCTTTGATTAAGCTGCCTCCCAACCTCAGGATACCAGAGCAGCAGGTAATAAAGGCTCCAACACGGGAGGGTTAGCCCGGCTCGAAAAGGGAGAGCCATCTGTGGAAGCTGTGCTGGGTGGGAACCGTGATCCAAGAGACCAGATTTTATCACCTGGAGCATGAACCCCGTGTCAGGCAGGGTGTGGTGGGTCCCAAGACCAAGGAACTGTGGATTCAAGCATGTGGTCAAGGTTCTGGTGGGAGGGAGAGCATCTGCCCAGGGAGGTCACTCTGTACCCTTTCACTTCCTGCCAAGCTCCCAAGGACAGGCACAGTGACCTGGCAGAAGTCCGGGAACTTGCCTTTATGTTCTGTGAGACTCAGGAACAGAGTTGGGGGTGCACCCTGCAGAGTTCATGCCAATACTATACACTGCCAGAGAATAGCAGAATGAAGACAGATTTGTAACTATTGGTAATTGAAGAGAGCTCCTGGTGAAACTGTCAGAACTGCCTCCCCACCACAAGGGCAGCTGGATTGTACTGGAGAGACCTATCACACCCATATGGGGAGGACTGGTCCTCACCTCTAGAGGGAGACACATTCCCGCTGTTCTGGAATCACATTGCAGATCAAGCTGCATTGTGCACTGTGTGGTCAAAACTGGGGGATTAGGTGCCTCATCTCTGAGCACCCACACTCCATGCCTGAGTGCATTCTGTCTCCCTCTAATAAAACTTTCTGATGCCTGTTTAAAAAAAATTAGTGGAAGCCGGGCGTGGTGGCACGCACCTGTAATCCCAGCACTCAGGAGGCAGAGCAGGATCCTTGCAATTTTGAGACCAGCCTAGGCTACAAAGTGAGCTCAAGTCCAGCCTGAACTGCATAGTGAGGCCTTGTTTCAAAAAGAGAAAAGTAAACTAAACAAATGGTGGATGAGAACACTTCTTAGTACAGTACAGAATTTGGCATTATAAAGTGTGCAAAGTTTCTTTTTGTTTTCCCGCTTTTTCCTCCCTTGCTCCTCTGTCTGTGTGTCTGTCTGTCTCACATACTGGGGACTGAACTCAAGACCTTGTGTTTGCCAGGCACACTCTAGAGAGAAAACTGAATTTCATTCTTCTCCCCTGGCGTCATTTCCTAAGCCCTGCGATGGACATTTGCCTCACTTCCATCCCACCCCTGTGTCTCCCAGGTCACTGAGGTCTCAGCTGTTCTGATCTGGACTGGAACATGGTTCTCCAAGCAGCAGATGTGCGTTTCCCCATCTTACTGCTCTGACCACGGTCTGAGCAGAGTCATTCCCGGGCTCAAGGCCCAGGGCAATAGCATCTCTTGGCCCCACTTTCACACATGGCAGTTAAGTAACTGGGAATGTGGCCTCCCTTACTCCCTGAACCTGAGGGAGGTCACTTGAACTGGTACTGTGGCATGGCAAGCTGAAGCACAGGATCAGTGCCAGGCAGCATGGAAAAATCCAGGCCCCGTGTGTGACACCATGTGGGAGCTGAGCACCATGAGAGAGTGCGGAGAACAAGGGCAGGTGCCCAGGAGAGGTGGGCAGCCCTTCTCTGATGTGTGGGCCCCAGTGCCTGTGAGGGCATCGGGATGGTCCTCTTGCTTGGAGCAAGGGAGATCCCGGCCTGATGTGGCTGGCTCAGGGTGGCACTGAACACTGGCTTTGTCTGGCAGCGGATTTGGCACAGCCCAGACTATGTGACAGCCTGACTTCATCTACCCAGGCCCTTCCTTGCCAACCTCAATCTTCCCTGGACCTTTGGAGATGCTGCTTGTATAGCTGTCCAAAATCCAGGTGGTGGTGTTCTGTGCTATCACCCAACAGGTATGGTGCGTGACAAAATCAGGTGCCAGCCGTTGTGTAACCCAGGGTCCTTTTCTAGTCCTCTTCCATCTTCCATTTCCTTGTTCCCCAGGCATCCCTCCCTCCTCCTCTTATACTGTCTTGTCCTCCCAAGAGCCCACACCTGGGCTAGTGCTACCCCTGTCTGGCCTGGGAGATGCTCTGCACTCCCCCAGACTCTTTTGATGCAGAGAGAATCCAGTGCCCACAGGTATGGCTGATTTGTTGTCACCCAGAACAAGCTAGAACCAAAATGTGCTGCATTTGGTCCAGGGCCTGGGGCTGAGGCTACTAGGAACCCCTATTCATGGCTTCCAGCACTAGAAGTTCTCCTCAGGACATGGTGGTCAGAACTGGGGGATCATGATTAGTCTGGAGATCATCCTATACAATGTCCTAGAAGCTGACCTAAACTGTGTGTCCCTGTGTGATGCATGTGTACCTGGATACATGGGAGACAAATGCAGGTGCTGCTGTCTGGCAGAATCCAGGTAGACACAGTAACTTTGAAATGGCTCATGATGGATGGGCAGAATTAGATCTGGCCAGAGAACAAAGGCTGGGTCGAGCAGTCCATGTAATGGGGCCCTCTGATCTGGAGCATGATTTGTAATAAAGGCAAGTATGTGTACCCCAGACGAAGTGTGTCTGGGTCCAAATTCTTCCCCAATGGGGTCATGTATCTCTGTCCTGTCCCAAGACCAGCAGACTGTGGTATAAGGCTTGGCAGTGTGGTCAGCCTGTTAGTGGCCTGTCTCTGTCCCCTGAGGACTGGACAGCACCTGGACAGGAGAGGGGCCCAACCACTTGGGTATAATGTGTTCATGGAATGTGCCTCTGCCTCAGTGACCTGCCCTCAGGTGAGGTGATCATGGCCACTGTCATCTATGCTGTCTTCTTGGCCGGCTAGTTGCCAGGCTGCTGCTGTGTTCTCACCTTCCTTGTCAGCTGGCACCAGAGTCACAGCACCTGGTGCCTGGGTGCAGGTGTCCAGTGAGTCTGTAGGCGAGTGTGGTGGGATGAGATGTCTGTGCGATCAGCAATGTGTTCTGAGAGGCTGCAGAGGGGGGTGAGAACCCAATGTATTTCCCTCCCCACCACATTGATGCAGGGGTCATGATGTACAGAGCAGGCTTCCTTCCAGTCAGCTGATACTTTTTACTTAATCTTTCCTTCCCATGACTGTTTACTGGGAAGCTGTGTAGATGTGCCCAGTGCTGGATAAATGTAGGTTGAATACCCTGCTGAGCATCTCCACCCAGACTGCCTGGCAGCAGCTCAGCCTTTGAAGTTCCGTGGGAGAGATGGGGGAGGGGGGTGGATGAGGACAAGGGGCTTTCTCCTCCATGACAGCACTTACAGAGGGGCAGGGAACACCTTCAGCTGTCACTGTTACACCCACTTCTGTGGCTTATCCTGAGGCCAGAGAGGAGACAGCAGTTTTAATCACTTAGCTAGAAATCAGGGATCTGAGCAGAGCTACAAAGGCCGGCCTTGGGAGCCAGACTGAGGGCTCCTCCAGAAGATTTGCCTGTGTTTGGTTTTTACTTTCTGTTCCATGACTCAGGACTCACCAGCTATTGGCAGTGCAGGTTCACTTATCTCCCCAAGAGTGAGCTGCTTCTGGGAACCTCGGGCATTCGGCACACAGTGAGTCCTCTATGTGTGTCTGTTAGGTTTGCATAGTGCAAAGTATAAAAGTGCATGTTCCTAGGATTGGAAGATTGGCCCTAGGAATTCCAATAGCGAGGTCTTAGCTTGAGGCCAGCTGGTGCTTTGCTCTTCAGGTTTGAATCTGCCTGAAGGACCCATTGCTGGCCAGGTAGAGCGTGTCCTTCCTGCGTGAGGCTTTTCATCAGTTGCTCTTTTTTTCGCATATGTCAGAAGTGGAATTTGTTTTGTTTATAGACTATTGTATATTTTCATCATCAGTACCTATTTACAGTGTATATTGATTATATTGGCATAGCTTGTGTGATGCATGGAGTGGAAATTAGGCCCTACCTCCTGCATAATGGTACAGTCCATAACCTGTGACTGTAGTCAAAGTTGGATTCATTAAGCACACAGCTCAGGGCCAAGACATGGCCAGCACAAGGTGCTGCTTTGTCTGGGTTGTCCTTTGTTTATGACCAATACAGTTCATAGTGATGTAATATTTAGGAGCTTAGCCCAAACCTAGCTTAACTCTAACCTGAAGCCAAAACCTAACATTCACCCTAGAAAGTCACTACCAGCATTCTCTGGCCAAAGAAAACTTGATGGCATTGATGTGGGCAATGTAGCATAGGTTAATGATGAGGACGTAAGATCAGGGGTGCTGGGATAGAGCAGGAGGGGAAAGAAAAGAAAACACCATTGTGTACAAAATTAAAGAAAATATTCTGGAACTGGAGAGTGGTGAAATTTGCACAGCATTGAGAATGCACTGAATGTCACCAAACTGATTATTTTAAACAACACTAAAATCTTAAAACTTTATTTATATTGGTTCTATCACTAACATATCTGTGGGAAATACGGGTAACAATGAATACAATAATATATAAATCAGTAAGAGAAGGGAATGGCAGGTGTGGGTCAAGAGCTGCCCCCAGGTAGAGCTCAAGAGAAGACTCCTGGGGAGCCACCAGGAGGTCCAGATCTGCAGCAGGGGGAGAAAGGAATCCAGGTTCAGGCTCTTCCTGTGGGTTCAGAGGAGCTGAGGGAGCTGCAGATGGATCTGGCACAATGTCAGCAGATACAACTTCTGCGTGGGCTGAGATTGGCCCTATAGTTGTGGGATAAGAAAAGATCACGAACTGTCCATGGACTTCTTGGGGCAAAACTTTCCCACTGCCTGTCAGAGGTAGCCATGTGCACCAACACAGCCTCAGCAAAGCCTCCCACACTGCATCCCCACACTGACTGCTGAGGGTCTCATGCTCCTGGATCACCCAGCATCTGGATGATTTACTGAATTCCATGGCCCATCTCCTCCCCAGAAGATCACAGGCCACACCTCAGGGCCCCTTACCATTGGACTCATGATCGTTGGCCTCAGGAGACTCCCGCTGGTGCAGGAGAAGCTCATCCTGGGGATCCACATGTGAGCAGACTTCCAATGCAGAGTCAAGCACAGAAGAGGTGGACCTGGGGCAATGAGAGAGGGAACTAAGGGAGAGGCCTGGGTTTTCCTCTCACAATACATGTGCAGGTCACCTGTGGGGAGGAGGGTGTGGACGCCTTACCCAGTCTCTACAGTGTCCAGTCCCATTTTCGGACCCCCACAGTGGGGCATTGTGGGCCCAAGAAGTCCTGAGAGGCTGAAAGAAGTCTCCATGGGAAGGAGGCTTTGCTGAATTGTATCCCACCTCTGCCTTTTTGAGGGAAGCCTGACATAGTTTCTGCCTGCCCGTCCCCAGTGCAGGTCAGATTGTTGAAGGCAGAGATTGTATCTGTCATATCTTTGTACTCTAGGGCCCATTGCTGTCACTCCATGAATATGTGAGACATGAGGGGTCAGTCAGTGTCTGTGCTGCCTTTGTGTAGTCTTGAGCTCAGGCAGTGATGTGTTGTCCAGTTCTGTTCACCTCTGTAGACCTCCTGCATGGTTTTACCCACATGTAGGGAGGCCCTGGGTCTGGCACAACTGCCTGGAGCTGAGCAATATCTGTTCTGCTGCCAAGGGTGACTTTGTGGCCTCCAAAGTACATTGAAACTCTAAAGGGCAGTGGTTGCACTTGCTCTGCTTACAGGATCATGATCAATACCCAGAAAAATGTCTGCACACTTCTGTCTTCATGTACATTTGTAGGTTGATGATACTTATCTTCTCTTCCATGACATCTGACAGCCATGGACACTTTGCCATAAAAAGGATTTCCTGCCTTGAACAAATTCTGAAGCCCATAAGGTGACTTTCCTATCTCCTTTCCTAAGAACTGAACAGATTCCCCCAAGTGCAGGTCAGTGAGGGAATGGAAGGTCATCCATGGGAATCAGTGCAGCCTCTAAAGAGGCTTGCATATGGCCATGGCGAAAGCTAACAAATGGCCATGGAGTCCCCATTTCACCCACAATGACCATGCAGGCTCGAACCACTCAACACCCTACCATTCAGCACTGTATCCTGGGGCTGAGAAGCACTTGCACATGGCCAGGAAATGAATTCACAAGTGCCTGTGTCCCATGGGGCTGCTAAGGTAAGAACTCACCTTTCCAACATCGGGGCCTGTGGGGTGGAGATGTTGCCCTTGGAGGAGTTCAGAGAGGATGTGCTGGGCCTGGGACAGCTGTCCAGGACAGCGGGCTCCAGAGGCTCTTTCAGGCTGTGAGGCCCATCTGCCTGTACCCTGCTTGCTGTACAGCCATCTGCCAGGCTCTCTGCTGGCTGACTTCCAATCTGTGATGAGACAGTGGGGAGACATGGAATTGGTGTCCTGCACGTGGCTCTCAGGAGGGTTTGGGGCTGAAACAAAGCCCACACTCCAAATGGTCCACAGAGCCTCATGTTACAGGGCTCACAGGGGGCCCAGCAGTAAAGGGATCTCATTTTAAAAGTCACAATTCACAGGGGACACTTAGGAATACTAGCATGCTCAGAAGAGCTTGATGGAGGAGAGACTAAATAAAACTATCCAGGAAGAAAACCTATGTGTCCTAAGAAGGCTTCCCATTTTAGAGATGAGAAAAGAAATCCTCATTTTGGGTGTCCAGGTCCATTAATGAGGCCCCACAGAATGTTCTCCAGGTTTCTGATGAAAAGTCCCCAGTAAGGTAATAAGTTCCTCTTGTACAGCGATGGAGGGCTGAGCAGCTGTGTTCACTGCTCTGTTTTGGAATTCGTTTATCCCAGAGGGTCCTCTAATAGGAACTGAGGTGCATGGAAAAATTCCGTGAGACAAGCGCTAGAGAATGGACAATGTAGCATGTGCCTTATAATTGAGGTGAGCACATCTCTGGTGAGATGATGATGTGTAAGAGCTGGGGACAGGTTATAAAGACACCAGCCAATGCTCCATGGACACCCGGCCCAGGATTGACAATGAGGTGCAATGGTAGAATTAAATCATGGCAGGTAATGTAGTGACTTTGGGTCTGTGTCCCAATTTTCCTGCTCTCACCTATCTGTGGACAGTGACCCTACATGTGACTAGGTAGAGGCTGAGTAGAGAGGTTATGGTAGTTGAGGACCTGGAGTCCAGATTCCTTGGGAGCAGAACCATGGGCCCAGTGTTTGCCAAGCCCTGAAGTGCGGTGCTGAGAGTGTGTACTGACCCAAAGATCGTCTCTGTCATCTGTGGGCCTCTACAATCCCTTCTGCCCACACACCTTGCATCTGAGTCAGCACCTGTTGGGGGTCCCAGAGTCTGCAGCAAGGCCATGACACACAGGGCCCAGTGACCAGCTCCAGACTGGTCTCCTCTGTGCTACTCTCTTGGTGCAGAGACCAGCTTCTGGCAAGAAGCCAGAGGCTCTGAGGCTCTGAGACACCACAGGTTTCCTTTGTCAACCCAGATAACCTCATATTCCTCTAGGACAGACATCTCTGTCCCATATTTCTACCGAGGAAGACAGAAGATGACTCTGGAGACTGTGGATAAGGAGGGGCGCTGCCCTTCTCCTCTTGCCAGCCCTGTCCTGGGTGGGCACGTGACAAGAGCCCAGTCCCACAACTTCCCAGTGCCTGCTCCTGCCCAGGAGGATCTGCCCTCAGTGCCTGTCCTCAGACCCCCTCAAACTGTTGACTTAGGGCAGAAGTTGTGTAGGGGGACTCACAGTGGTGGCCAAGCCTTAATGTACCTGTCCTGGTCTCCGTGTGGTTGAGTCGCTGGTGGCTGAGCTTAGTGATACCTGTCCTGGGCTCCTTCTTGCCTCTGGGCACCTGAGGGCTGGGGACAGTGAGCCCTGTCCTTTGCTGCGCTTGTTGGTTGGATGTGTGCCGGCAATCATCCTGAAGCTTCTGGGACGAGTAAACCATTTTTTCAGTCGATCCCACGTGGTCCCCCTATGCGGGGTCCTGCGGCTGGGGCCTCGAGTCCTGGGAAAGCAGCATAACATGCTCCCTGTTCACTCTCTTGAGCCAACTGTCTCTGAAGGCCAACTGTCACCAGACCAAGGTGTCAGGTGAACTGAGCCTTCAGAATTCTGTTTGGACCTGTTGTCAAGGAAGTGAGGTCATGCGCTGGGGTCCACAGTTGGGCCTGCCTTTGTGATGCCCCCTTTCTTTTTATTCTGGAACAAATCTGTATCCTCCTTGGAAACAGCAAGTTAAAACCCCAGAACCTTTGTGCGGGTTTAGACTTTGCTGCTCTTTGAAAATTTTAAAGCAACAAACATGTAGATGCTTCAGATGTGGCAGGATGCGTCCAAGCACACATTTCCATCCAAAGGGTCCATTGTCTCTGAGGATGAAGCACTCATTGTCTTCTGTTAGAGATCTGTCAAATTTTATGGTGACTTTCTTTCCTGGGCTTATGTTAGTTTCATTTCAGTTCCATTAGGAAGCAAGGAGATGTTCCCAGAATACCCATAATAATTTTCCTAAAGAATGTGAATGTTTCATGTTATAACCACCTCAGGTCCAGGGGATGAGGATTCCTAACAAGTTTTACTCTCATGGGCTTATGAATGATTACTTATTCATGCTTATATGTTTACCTCAGCCACACACTATAGGGCTCTGTACTCTGACATCCTATAAGGAGGGACATTACGTGGTGAGTGCACAGGGAAGCTTTGCCAGGCTGTGGACATCATCACCATGTGCTGATGAAACACACACGCATGTCACTCCTGGGGAACTTGTCTCCAAGCAGCTGCTATCACTTCCTGTACTTCCATCCCAAACAGACCATGGGATTTGTGTCCCTGCTGGGTAGTTTGCCTTTCCTGGAGGTGATGAGCCTGAGCCTGTTCAGTTGCAATGGTCTTTGGTTGGTCTCCTTCAAGCAGTGTCTCCATGCTGGGCTCCCCCTGTGCTGCCACCACCCGCTATTAAAAGGCTGAACCAAGCATGTGTGACTTGTTCATGTACCTGTCACTCATTTTTCTTTTTTTTTTTTTATTTAAGAGGAAAAAGTGAAAAATACAAAACAAACCAAAGCGGCGTAAGGGTACAAGCAATACAGAACTACAAACAAAACAAAACAAAACAAAACAAAAAAACATAACAGTAAGAAATCACCTGCTAGTAGATTACACACTATCTTCTTGAAAATAGTTCCTCAAATCACAGTATCAAAGAACACAAGGTGGACATTCAAACAGGGAGTCCGCAAACAGCTGTGTTCAATGTTCCAAAAACATTGATATAGTCAGCTATTTAACACCCCCAAACACACTTGCTGTTATATCCGTTAGAGCTCTTTTTCTTTTTTTTTTCCCCCTCTCTTTTTTACAACAAAACCCACACATCCTGGATTTTACTACTCCTTAGTGCTCATTACTTTCTTTGGGGGGGGGGGGAAGAATACAGTCAAATATGGCAAAACAAAGCTGTCAGTCAATACCAAGGATAGACATAGCACATGGTGCAGAACAGAGTACAAGTTTATCAACAATGGTTATCAACGTTGTCCCCTGTTTCCTTAAAAAGGATTGTCTATCTCACCAGATATCATAAAGTTGGACAAAACAGTAGAGAACAAGACCAATACAACTTAGGCATTGTAAACATTACAGGACTTCCAAAGAAGACAATAGTCAAACCAGAATGGGTATCTTAGTGAATCTTGTCTTCAAAGTAGTTGCCTATGTCTTCAAACTTGATACTATCATACAGAATGGAACAGAGTTTAATCAGTCAAAACAAGATCATGTGAGTACTACAGGACTTCAAAACAAGTTAATAGGAAATCAAAAAGAGTTACTATTTATATATCCTAATTTTTTTTGAATTTTTTCTTTAATTAAGACAAACATAAGAAATGACTAAATTTTTTTTGAAACAATAAGGGGGAGATTGAGATAAAACAGGACATAACAATATAACAATAGAGGTCACAGCATGACTGTTTCAACAACCTAGTACTTCACCACCTTATAACCTGACTTAATAGTAGTTACCATAGTGTCTTTTTCCTTGAAATATTTGGATAAAACTTCATATACTCTAGCTTCAAATATTTTCATATCAAGAAGCCCAGAATAAAGCCTTTCTAATTAATGAGTGAAAACTTTATAAGGCTTCAAGGCCACCTAATGGGGATTCATGATTACCACATATTTTTATATATTTGAATCATTATTTACATTAGGGAAACTATTCGGTATTCACACATGCGAGATTGATTTATTTCACTAATGAGTATGGTCTCAAGCTGCGCCCATTTATTGATAAATATCTCAATGTGATCCTTCTTTATAGCTGAATAATACTCCATTGTATAGAAATACCACAACTTTTTTATCCATTCCTCAGTTGATGGACACTTGGGTTGTTTCCAAGATCTGGCGATTACAAATTGTGCTGCTATAAACATAGGTGCACATATATCACTGTGGTATGATGCTTTCAGTTCTTCTGGGAATATGCCTAGAAGTGGAATAGCTGGAATAAATGGGATTTCCAGTCCCAACTTTTTGAGAAATCTCCAGACAGATCTCCACAAAGGCTGTACCAGTCTACACTCCCACCAGCAGTGCAGGAGAGTTCCTTTTTCCCCACAGCCTCTCCAGCATTTGTTGTCGGTTTTCTTGATCCTGGCCATTCTTTCAGGCGTGAGATGGTATCTCAGTGTGGTTTTAATTTGCATTTCTCTAATGACCAATGATGATGAGCATTTTTTCATGTATTTATTTGCCATTTGCATTTCTTCATCTGAGAATTGCGTATTCATCTCAGATGCCCATTTTTGGATTGGATCTTTGAATTTTGGAGGTCTGAGTTTCTTTAATTCTTTATATGTTTTAGACAAGAGGCCCTTGTCTGAGAGAGAGTTCACTAAAATCTTTTCCCAGTTTGTGGGTTTTCTTTTCACTATGCTGGAGATTTCTTTTGACATGCAGAAACTTTTTAATAAGAAGTGGTCCCAGTTATTGATTCTGGGAAGTATTTCCCGTGCGGTTTGAGTCCTGTTCATGAATTCTTTACCTACTCCTATGTCTCCAAGGTTTCTACCTAATTTGTATTCCAATAGATTTAGTGTTTCTGTTTTAATATTCAGATCTTTGACCCATTTAGATTTTAATTTAGTACATGGTGATAGACATGGGTCTAGCTTTAGTTTTCGGCAAATAGAGAGCCAGTTTTTCCAGCACCATTTATTAAAGAGACTGTCGTTCTTCCAGTGAACCTGCTTGGCTCCTTTATCAAAAATAAGGTGGTTGAGTGTGTTCGTAGTTGTGGTTGTATCTTCTAATCTATTCCACTGATCTTCGGCTCTGTTTTGATTCCAATACCATGTTGATTTTACTACTGTTGCTTTGTAGTATAACTTCAAGTCAGGGATTGTGATGCCTCCTGCTTTGTCTTTGCTGCTTAGAATTGCCTTTGCGATTCTAGGTCTCTTCTGGTTCCAGATGAAATTTAGGAGTGATTTCTCTAGATCTATAAGGTATGTTGATGGTATTTCTATTGGGATTGCATTGAATCTGTATAACAGTTTTGGGAGAATGGCCATTTTCACAATGTTTGTTCTTCCTATCCATGAGCAAGGGATGTCTTTCCATTTTCTGAGATCATCTTCAATTTCCTTTTTCAGTGTATTATAATTTTCACTGTATAAGTCTTTCACTTCTTTCGTAAGAGTAATTCCTAAATATTTCATTTTTTTGCTTGCTAATGTGAATAGTCCAGTTTCTCTTATTTCCCTCTCTGTAATTTTGTTGTTCGTGTATAGGAATGCTATTGATTTCTGAGTATTGGTTTTGTATCCAGCCACATTACTGAATTTATTTATTGTATCTAAGAGTCTTTCAGTGGAGTTTAGGGGGTCTTCTATGTAGAGTATCATGTCATCTGCAAACAGTGATAATTTAACTTCTTCTTTTCCTATCTTTACCCCTTTTATTTCTCTTTCTTGCCTAATTGCTCTGGCTAGTACTTCCAGTACTATATTAAATAGGAGTGGCGATAAAGGACATCCTTGTCTTGTACCCGATTTTAAAGTAAAGGCTTTCAATTTTTGGCCATTTAGTATGATGCTGGCTGTTGGTTTGTCATAAATGGCCTTTATTATATTGAGGTAAAGACCATTTATTCCAATTTTCTGTAAAGTTCTTATCATGAATAAGTGTTGGACCTTATCGAAGGCTTTTTCTGCATCTATAGAGATGATCATGTGATTCTTATTTTTGGCTTTATTGATATGGTGGATTACATTTATTGATTTGCGTATGTTGAACCATCCTTGCATTCCTGGGATGAATCCCACCTGGTCATGGTGTATAATCTTCTTGATGATTTGCTGGATCCTATTTGCCAATATTTTATTGAGGATTTTTGCATCTGTGTTCATTAGGGAGATCGGTCTATAGTTCTCTTTTATAGTTGGGTCTTTCTCAGGTTTTGGTACTAGAGTAATATTTGCTTCCAGGAATGACTTAGGAAGGATTGCTTCCCTTTCAATTTCATTGAATAGTTTGAGGAGTGTCGGCATTAGGTCTTCTTTATATTTCTTGTAGAATTCTGCAGTGAATCCATCTGGGCCTGGGCTCTTCTTGGTGGGCAAGGACCCAATTACATTTTCAATTTCATTAGCAGAGATTGGGTTATTCAACAGTTTTATATCCTCTTGATCTAGCTTTGGTACTTCATATGCTTCTAAGAATCTGTCTATTTCTTCTGTGTTATCAAACTTTTGAGAGTAGAGGTTTTCGAAATAGGTGTTGATGATCCTCTGTATTTCTATTGGGTCTGTAGTGATTTCTCCTTTTTCATTTCTTATTGCATGAATTTGAGCTTTTTCTTTCCTTTTTTTAATAAGGTTGGCTAGGGGCTTATCGATTTTATTTATTCTTTCAAAGAACCAATTCTTTGATTCGTTGATTCTTTGGATTGTTTTCTTAGTCTCTATTGCATTGATTTCTGCTCTGATTTTTATAATTTCCTCTCTTCTTTTGGCTTTGGGCTTGACTTGCTCTTCTTTTTCTAGCTGTTTGAGGTATAGCATCAAGTTATTTATTTGTATTCGTTCTGTTTTCCTGATGTGG